CTAAGCTTTCGGAATATCACATTACCTTTACCTTTGAAAAAACCATTATGAATCAAAAAAGTTTTCGATATTGGGCGTGAGCTAGCTTCTCATCTTTCCACAGGCTAGCGCTGCAATTACTTCCATTCCACTAAAATACAATATGCCTCACACAAATTTCTTTGGATGTCCAAGCAAGCTGAAAGCAAACGCATTATATTAGTAAAAGTGATTTGTTTTATAGACATCAAAGGGAAATTGTTAACTTCTTTCGAGAGCAAGAATACCGATACAAAAATTACCCTCACCAGTCAGCTATTCAAGTCTCTGGACGGCAATCTGAGAATAATATCATTCATCCATACCGTTGCCGCCGCAACAGAACAAGCAAAGCAAACCTAGGCGAACACAAGCGCGCAAGCGGCAACACATGCAGATAGTACATATAACAAACCCGTATCATTCTTGATTTGTGAATCATGCTATCCATTAAAACACAGAGCTTTGTCTCAGTGGCTGATGTCCATTTCAGAGTTAAAAGACCGTGGGCATTTTTTGAATAGTTTTTGATAGCAACGAGATAGAAATCTCCGGTTTTCACCGTTGGAAAGAGCAGATGAAGACACATCGAATTATATATAGAAAGATTTTTCTAACTACTTTTCTAAAGGTTTAGTCAAACGTTTTCAAAGACTTGCTTTTTTCTCCTACGTTAATAAAGTGGCTTTTTTATCAAAATACTAGAAAAATTTACATTTTTCGATTATTTTGTTGAAAGAATGAGGTGGTCAATTGTGTTTCGATGGTTTGGATATCATGGTGGTAGTAGTTAGGAACAGTGTCTTGATATAGTTTTTAAGCCCTTCCTTTGGCGATTCTAGTGCACTCCTGAAAACCAATAAATTAATATCGTGACCATGAGAAACATGCTGTTTTTCTTGTAGTTTTATGTAAAACCTATAGGAAAGTAGCTAACAAAATCTTTCTATATATAATTCGATGTGTCTTCATCTGCTCTTTCCAACGGTGAAAATCGGAGATCTCTATATCGTTTCTATCAAAAGTTATTCAAAAAATGCTCACACAGCCATTTAACTCTGAAATGAACATTAGTCACTGGTCAGAAATAACTTAATGAGGTATAACAAGTTCACACGATCTTCCAGTTTTCAACATGTTCCCAATATAAAAGATGCTTAAAGTTTAGAGACCAACACACACCACATCACACTGGGTGCGCGTGCAAGAATGAAGTTTCCCGAGAATGACTCTCATCGCATCACATTGGGTGAAAGTGCCAAGAAAGAAGTTTCATCCACAACGTGCTATATGACAGTCTCTGCTCTTCATTACTTCTGATTCCTTCTTTTGCCATGCGAAAAGGTGGTGTTTTCTTCTGCGACCTGTGTTAGAATATTAGGGCAGTTTATTTAGAGCCCACCAGGGTTCTATTGGATTACCTAAGGTATAATTTGAGCCGCGTGTCATTTCATTTGGATTTATGGGAAATCCGAAGGAGCTTGCAATGGCCCATCATGTCTATTACATCCATTACGGTCATTACCACCATTACGGCTATCACGGCCATTATGACCATTAAAAATCTGTTACACATGTCCTTGCAGTAAAATCAGTTTCCCGGAAACTAATACAACGCATGGAATCGTTGCTTGACTCATGAAGTTACAGATAAAAATTCGAGATATAAACTGTTGATCTAGATGCTTGTACAAAATAAACTATTACCCTTTATCGAAATATTTGCCTTTACGAGTTAAATGAAAGAAAAATACGTAATCACTGTTATTCTCATTTACTCACCAGATTCAAAAACACATCATATTGTAAATTATATCTTATTGTTGTCTACTTCATTTTGTGTTCATGTTTGATATGTATCATAATGTGTTAGAAACGTCTTACACTTCAGTGTACTGCTAATCATAAGCATTTTCTCTTCGCTAGCTTATCCATATATATCGTCGATGTCATAATTTGCTTCAGAGTAAAAATGATGGCTATTTCTTTTACTTGTAGAAGTTCCAAACTGCACTAACAAGATTATCTCTCCAAAAATAGACTGATCTTTTTTTTTGGACGACAAAATCTTCCATTGATGTCAGCGTTAGACGGTGTGTTTAACAATACTCATGGTCTTAAGGAAAGTGAAGTAGACGAAATCAATAAGTCATTTCGTCAATTTGATTTAAATGATGATGGTTATATAACTCGTGATGAACTGAAACAGTGTTTAAGAGGTGCGAATGTAATTGCATTGGATGCTGTTGTTGATTCCGTATTAAAGCAAATGGATTGGAATCACGATGGTAGAATTAGTTACGGCGAATATCTGAAATTCATGGCAACAATTTATCGTGGTGAACATCATGATTTGAAACGACAACTAGGTAATGCTAGTGATTATGTTGGGTCCGCTTCTGGAGGATCTTATTAAACGTGATTGGCTGTACTCACCAACTTCTCACGATTACAAAAACACTACGTGACTTGATAAGTTCAGTTCCAGTTTTTTAAAACTTTTCCCTAAGACTAATATACTTTTCGATAAACTTCAATTGTATCACAGTGTGTGGGTGTGGGTGTGTCAAGCATACTATGATCCAGATTTCTGCTTGACTGAGACGCTTACCAGATTGCTTTATTGAATTATTTTCGCACTTCGCAATTCTCTAGTTAGATTGTTTTAGTTTGTTTTATTTCTATCGCTGTAAGCACATCGTATGTCAGTAAACTAAATGAAATGGTAGAATGAGGGAGGCATTCTACCTATCTAAGTAAATAGTGATTAGGGATGTAACGGTAACGGTCATTCACTAGTTAACCGTCACCGTTTCACCGGTCCAAACCGATAACTGTACCTACGATAACCGTAGGTACAGTTATCTGTTCAGACTGGTTTTCATGAAACACAATATTTTCTAAGACAGTAAGGATTGCTTATAAAGGTTGACAAAAGTAAACCGGGGTTGGTGAATTTGAATTTGATATTAGTTTTTCAAAATGTTGAGTTCTATTTTTCCATATAAGTTTTTTTTAGAAAAAAATAGTTTTTCTAAAGATACAGAGCTTTTTTCCTGGAAAATGTTTTTAAAGAAAACTATAACTTTCAAAAAGAAATCCTTTCGTGGAAAATTCAAACGCAAAACTTCACAAAAACTGATATCAGATTCGAGTTTTTCGATCCCGATTTACTTTCGTCAACATTTATAAAATATCAGTATTTTCTTAAAAACCTGTTCCCTTAACCTAAAAAATTAATTTTGAAATTTTCAAAATCTGGCTTCAGATTCGGATTTTCCGACCCCGCTTTCGTTTCGTCAACATTTATAAGAGATCGTTATTATCTTAGAAAATGCTGTGTTTCATGAAAACTGCCTTGAAGCGATAACTGTGTGTGGGTGTGGGTGTGGGTGGGATTCGAATATATCTCCATCCACAACCATACCCACACCCTCCACGTCATCAACCATATTCGCTGTCAATACTTAAGAAATAAAGACAATGTTCTATGATGAATGTTCTGCTATGGTTTGCAGGGAAACATAATCAGACTTAGAAATTGTTATGAAAAGAGTTCGATTGAATAAAATCTTATTTGCATGCACACTTTCTATGTGAAAAATGAGACCTAGCAGCTCGCATTTTGGGAAAATATATAATTAGTTTCTTTATCGGCATCCCTCACCCAGAAATATAGTAGCCCACAGATGAAAAAAGTGCATGATTTAGACAATGGAATAACAAAACTATGTATCATCAGGTTTGCCATACTACAAGAAGTCCAAAAAAGAGTTAAGAACAGATAGTTTCAATTTCTCGAGATCCAATGTCCCTCCACCTCGTAGATCAGTAACCGGATTAGCAAGTAAATAGTTGTGAGGTTTGAATTTGATATGAGCACTCAAAGCATCTCCTAAAATTAAACCAAACATCGTACCCTTAATACGATTTAGAATGTGCCCATCAATATTTCCCGAAGGTTCAGTGAGGTTTGATTCGCATTCGTTGGGTTTGATAATTGTTGTACCTTCTGGATCTTTAAATCGGCATTCTAGACAAATTTTATCTATATAGAAATAAAAGCCAATCGCATCATGTTTTTGAATATTCCATTCAATGGAATTTAAAACAATCCAAGAGTTCAGATGATTATGAAAAGTAATTATAAAATATCACTCAATATTAGAGACAGCACATTTGTTTTATATTTACTTTTAGTGTTAAAGGATTTTCATAGTTGTTTCTCTCGTTAAATGAAATATTTGATGTCTAAATTTTAGACCTTGAGCTCAATTCAGTGGCGTACGCAGGGGGGGGGGGCCGAGGGGGCCCGGGCCCCCCCCTTGAGATTTATTAAATGGGCTTAGTATCACAACAGCTTCAATGTTGGTAACAGAGCTGTTGCAGACATTATATGCTTTCGTTATTATAACTTAGAATGATCTGTGTATCAATTATAAAATGTATTAATTCGTCAGTCATCTTATTTCGTTTTATTCAGAAACAACAGTAAAGCATTCGACCTATAGTTAGGTCATTTTCAACACAAATGATAGAGAGTGAAAATATGAAGAAAATTGCTCTTTTCTTTTCTTTTGTTCTGTTTTGCCTATTGATAAACATTGCAATGCGACGAGAATATTATTTCCTCCTTGTATTGCGATGTTTATCAATAGTCAAAACAGAACAAAAGAAAAGAAAAGAAAAGAGCAATTTTATACATATTTTCACTCTCTATCATTTGTATTGAAAATGACCTAACGTATAGGTGGGATGCTTCACTCTTGTTTCTGACTAAAACGAAATAAAATGATTGAGGAATCAATATATTTTACAATTAGTTTATTTTCTTATATCTCCACGTCGAATAATATTAAAAAAAAGGTCTGTGTATTGTAATTTGTTTTTACTTAATCGTATTGAATTGTCATGATAGTGTTACGTGACTCTTAGAATTTACTTTTGTACGAAACTAGTTATATTGGAACCTTTTATGTAAGATGAGCCGGCAACTGAATTTGAAAGAATCGTTTGCAAATGCAAACAAGAGAAGACGTTATTCTAATGAAGATATTGCATCCTCAACGTTATCATCATCACCACCAGTTTGCTCAACCACATCATCGTCTACAGAAGTCTTGCTATCCATTTCACTGACATCAACACCATCATTCTTATCACAATCAATTTCATCACCAACGGAACCAATAACGCCGCCGATATTTCAGTTACAGACAACAGTCTCTGTTTCTTCTCCATCAAAAGATTCTGAACTCTCTGTTGTCGATGAACAGAATCGTACTCCAACTGTTTTTCAAAGTCTCTCATCAAACAGTATAATTTCAACTGCATCATGTATCGATATGTATGATCCGAATGATATTGGTAAGTTGTTTACTAGATACACTTTTTTCCTATAAAAATGAATAATGGGAAATCAACCAGTACATTTATCATGTATTGATTTTTAAGGTAATTTTATTGATGGATCGGTTACTGAACAAGATAATACTCGAATCTATGATGTACTTAAAAAACCTTGGACTCCACCACTCTTCTACAAGTTTCCGAAAGTCGACCATAAAGGACATTCTCGATCGGTATGCGTTTCCAAATGGCTCATTGACTTTCCTTGGCTTTCGTACTCGGCCAAGCTCAAAGATGTTCTATGCCGATACTGTGTTCTCTTTCAACGCAAATCGTCTCACGCCGATCGAGCTAACAATCAACTTGGTCAACTAGTGGCCAAGCCCCTTTCTGGTTCGTTTTTGAAAGAAGCCACGACTACTTTAAAGGCTCATGAACAAACACGGTACCATCAATATTCTACAACTCAAGCCAATGAATTTATTACTCGTCATATAAATCCGAACTTGGATGTCGATTTTTTGTTAAATGTTACTGATCAGCATCAACAAAATGAATATAAGAAGATTTTATTTAGTATCGTGAAATGTATTTTATTTTTAGCTGGTCAAAATTTAGCATTACGTGGGCATTCAGATGATGGATTACCGTGTGATACGAATCTGCATCAAGGAAATTTTAAAAACCTAATCGCATTTCGTGCCGAAGCGGGAGACACCATTCTTGCCAAGCATCTCCAGTCATGTGCTAGGAATGCAAGTTACTTAAGTCCTCGGATACAAAATGAACTGATCGTACTCTCGGCTCATGTTGTACGCACTAAACTTATTCGTGAACTCATCGATAAACGACTCTTCTATTCCATCATGGCTGATGAAACGTCTGATCTATCCGGTCATCAGCAACTTTCTATATCCGTTCGTTATGTTTCATCTGAACCTGACGAAAGTGGTGAATTTATTCATGAAGTGTTTTTGGGTTTTATTCATTTGGAAAACCTCACTGCTGTTGGAGTGGCTAGCACAATATGTGATTTCTTGAAGAATATTGGTCTTAGCATTGATCTGATTAGAGGTAATATTCTAGCCAAAAACTTTTTCTCACTCAACGATGAAATTCTGCACACAATTGATCAATCTCACATTTTGAGGTGTTCTGGGAAAACGAAATAATATAATGATTATTTAGGAGTTTTACTGATGTTTTTTTTTCTTAGGCCAAGGATATGACGGCGCCAACGTAATGGCTGGTCGATTAGGTGGGGTGCAGAAATTGATTGCCGCCCAATCACCAAGAGCAATCTATATTCATTGTTCTAACCATTGCTTAGATCTTGTGCTAAGAAATTCATGTGATCATTCGGATGTAAAATCTTTGTTTGGGACCATCAAAATGATAACCAAGTTCGTCAATGATTCTCCGAAACGGAAGACTATGTTTAAAGCAGCAGTAGAAGCAACAGTTGGCAAACAGAATCATCAACATCACCATACACTCATCAGAATGTGTGAGACACGGTGAGTATCTAGAAAATTGGTCTGTATCTAAAATTCGATCTGATTTTCTTTAAAATATAGTTGGATCGAGAAACAATCCGCTATTATTATATTCAGACAACTGTTTGGTTCTATTCTAATTGTTCTCGAGTACTTATCTATTCATGGTGATAGTGAAACATCAGCTCTTTCTGGTGCATATCACAAATCAATCTCATCGGACATTGAGTTTATTACGTCACTTATCGTTGTTTCTCGTGTCTTCGCCCTTACGAAACCATATACTGAAAGTCTACAATCACCAACATGTGAACTCGTACAATGCTACGACAAGATCGAAGAATTGGCATTGTATTTAATTGAACTCTTGAATGATGATCATATGGATAAATTACACGACGATTTAATTCAATTTGCTGCTCAACATGATATTCCATTTGTACTTTCGCGTCGAAAGAAAATAACACCACGTACATTCTTCGAATCAATTCATCAAGCTTTTATTTCAAGCACAATCGATGAATTGGGTCCACGATTTTCTACACATCAGAAGCTTGCCGTAAAAATCTCCAAATTAATGCCTGTTCATGTTAAGGAAGTCGATTTCGCTGATATGAAGGATACATTCGAATTTTACAAGGAAGATCTGCTGTCGGACAACTTTGTTGTGCTCGAAAGTGAGTTTGAGATGTGGCGAAACATGTGGCGAAAACGT